CCAGTTCTGGGCGCCACATTTTAAAAAAGAAGTGGAGAAATTGAAAAGGGTCCAGAGAAGAGCAACAAGAATGATTAAAGGTCTAGAGAACATGACCTATGAAGGAAGGCTGAAAGAATTGGGTTTGTTTAGTTTGGAAAAGAGAAGACTAAGAGGGGACATGATAGCAGTTTTCAGGTATCTAAAAGGGTGTCATAAGGAGGAGGGAGAAAACTTGTTCACCTTAGCCTCTAAGGATAGAACCAGAAACAATGGGTTTAAACTGCAGCAAGGGAGGTCTAGCTTGGACATTAGGAAAAAGTTCCTAACTGTCAGGGTGGTTAAACACTGGAACAAATTGCCTAGGGAGGTTGTGGAATCTCCATCTCTGGAGATATTGAAGAGTAGGTTAGATAAATGTCTATCAGGGATGGTCTAGACAGTATTTGATCCTGCCATGCGGGCAGGGGACTGGACTCGATGACCTTTCGAGGTCCCTTCCAGTCCTAGAATCTATGAATCTATGAATCTGGTACCCTTCCGGAGAGCCAGGATCCTTCCTTGAATCCGCACTTATAGTTTTTTCTGACAGCTAACAAGCCGACAGTGTCACTCCCCATGTGGACTTTTCCTTGCCGGAGAGTGAGGAATGGATTTTGAGTCTTTGACCGCCAGGTATCACACACAGTGGCCATTTGCTTTGAAATTAGCACTTTTCTGTTCATGTTCTTCATTTCCATTTCCCACAGCTTCTTTGGTGGGTCATTTAGTTACCAGGGTAACACAATGTAAATATTCGCTACTGCATTATAATGGGTACAGATCAGTGAAAACAATGCACGCAGCATCCCACTAGTTTTCAACACCAGATACACTTTTATACAGTTAACAATCACTTTGATCTATACGGGGGGCGGGCGGGGGGGGGATGGGAGGAGTGACAGCTTGTGAGCCACATGCGGCTCTTTTATAGTTAAAGTGTCCCCCCCCCCCCCCCCATTCTCTGCCTACCAGACTGTTTGGGGGACACTGGAACAAGGGCCAGGTGAGTGAGGCACTTGCCTCGGGTGCACAAAGCTGCAGCAAGTGGTGGAGAGGGGGAAAAAAAACCTGCTGGCCCGGAGCTATTTATAACCCAGGTGCTCTCCCCCCGGCCCCACCTGCGGCCCCCCCCCCATGCTTCCCCCCGAGTGTCCCCCGGCCCCC